CCCCAAAACCCCAAAACCCCAAAACCCCATAAGCGAAAATCTCAGTAGTTTGAAAATTATAAGTAAATAAATTTAAAAATCAAAATGAGAAACAGTCAATAAAAATTAAGTCCTTTAAAAAGTGGTTCTAACGAAAAGACAAGCGCAATGAATAAGTAGTTCTAAAGTCTTTCTCCTTAATCCTAGAGGCTTTCACAACATACAAGCTCCTTATCTCCAAATCAAGAAAAGCATCAAAGAATGTTTTCAGAAACCTCTGACTAGCAAGCAATCAACAACTAATTCTATCATTCGCATCAAACTTCTAAGCAGATAATCTTATCACAAAAAGACTAAACCTTTGGCAATAATTCACCTATCTCAGAACATGAATAGAGTGAGTATGGCAAGAGAGCTAGTCCAGAAATTGCTAATAATTATAACAATAATTAGCAATATTCTTCATATCACAGATCACAGCAATCCTACAATAGTCTTTAGCATAAATAAGTGACTTCTCCTCGTTAAATGGATAAAATTGATATATTACTGAGAGAAATAGATATGAAACTAGGGGAGAGAGAGCCAAAAAAATTATTGACTCCAGGAATTGCAGTGACTAATGATTAGAATTTGATAGAGCAGGATTTCGTATTTGATAACACTTCTCCTTTGAAATCTCAATAAGATGATAGCTTGAATTATATGGTGAAGAGCAATCTGAGAGATTTCTATGATTAGACAGTCTAGTTTAGAGAGGAATTAAGAGAACTCAAGTATAAAATTGTGGAATTGAATAAAAATGCTGATCAGTATGGTGTCAAGTTTCATGTAAGCAATATAATCAAATATGAATAATTGTGTTATAGGATTTCTAAAGAGGACTAAACGACTATAGTACTTAAAATCAGTAGATCCAAGAGAAGCTAGTAAATGATTACAATGTTTATATTAATGTTTAGAAACAACTTAAAGAGTTCAATCCTTAAAAATTTAACTAGCAGAGAGGAACTGCAGAAGCACTTTGATGCTAATTTTACACTGATATTAGTAAATTGCAAATGACTGTTGATGTTTAATAGTTAAATATTACCTTAATTTTAACTAATATTGATATAATATAATGAATATGAATTAGCTTAAATAAAGATATGTAGAGCATTTATTTATTGAGCAGGGTATATATTTATGAGTCAAAACATTTCCTCAAGCGAGATTATACTTGTTAACAATCTCCTTGAACTTCATGTTGCTTTCTTATATTTCTGGGATGCCTGATAATTTATTATACCACGAGAATACGTTGGGATACTCTCTACTCTCTAATTATTTCTTATGCAGGGTTAGCACAGTAAATATCTCGTTATACAGTTGAATGTCCGCCACTGTATAATCATCTCCGCACAAGTACTCATATCTCTACAATTTCCTATCTAACATAGCTATGATCTAAGTGAAAAATTCATCCAGGGTTTCCTTGATGTCGTCTTGAGAGTACTATTTCTCTCCAAAGGCTTGAGGGCCAATAATCATTCTTATAAGTCTTTAACTGCAGACGCGCATAATGGATTAGAACCACAGAAGGATTTTGTCGATTTGCTACTTGAACTCAGGGGGGTAAAGCTTCTCCTTGATGGGTCTGTGGTGATTTACTAGATAGTTCAGGAACACAACGTACCCTCCAAGCACCAAAAATCTTCCTTCTGTCAGTGTGGGCAGAGACCCCGTGGGATTTAATTTAATGTAATCTTCTCGCTTATGTTCTCCCTTGAACTAGTCCACTGGCTGAAATTCGTGCTGTATGCCTCCCATCTAAATCATGATCATAATCGATCTTGTCTCAGGAGTGAAGTAATCCCCGTATACTGTTAAACCTTGTTTCTATATTTGACCTGGATCAACTGGTGCTGGACAAAGCGCTCCCATTATTACAATTTATAAACAGAATTCAATTATTTACTTTTAAGAATTAAACTTTGAAATATCGCTTGATGGGGTTTTGGGGTTTTGGGGTTTTGGGG